GCCCCCAACAATCCGGGTCCTCATTTTACCCACCTCGGAAGGATGGAAAACTGAGTCAACCTTGAGCCGGTGAGATTAGAACCGCTGAACTGCAGATAACAGTCAGCTGAAGTGGCCTGCAGTACTGCACCCTAACCACTGCGCCACCTAGGAAATGAAGCCGTTTGGTTCCAGATAGTATTTAGAAGAGGGATTGCCTAAAAGATTTCCCAGTTGAGCCGGTGAGATTAGAACCGCTGAACTGCAGATAACAGTCAGCTGAAGTGGCCTGCAGTACTGCACCCTAACCACTGCGCCACCTCGGAAATCCCTCCAGGGGAAATCTATAATCTAAAGCAGGGGTGTCAAACATGAAGTTCGCAGGTCAGATCCACGGAGCCCGCCTGCAAATATCAAAGGACTGGCCTGCGGCGCCTTTGGTGGCCAAAACAGGCCATATGTGGCCCCATGGTACATTTTCGGCCTTCCTGGCCTCCTGCAGCACTCTGGCAGCCAAAAATGAGCCACGCGGGGGCCTCGTGAATCCCCAGCACAGCCTGTTTTGGGCTGGAACAGTGAAGCTGGAGGCTGGGGAGGCTGAAAATGGGCGGTGCAGGGCCTTGGGAAGCCTCCACATGGCCCATTTTGGGCCGGCCGAGTGCTGCAGGAGGCCGCTCAAGTTGAAAATGAGACAGGGGGTTAATAGTTTGTAATTTAAAAAAAATTTAACCAGTTGTTTTGCTATCTAGGATGTCTCAGAAACTGCAAATGGTCGTCCTCCATTTTATAGTTCCATAAATAATTATATATATTTTGAATCACTTTTTCATCCGCCCCCGTTAAAATTTTATCCAATGCTCTTTGTTCTTTATTTACACCCCATAATTTAACATCCTTTTTTGTGCCTTGATTGGATCTGAAAATACGGCCACCAGGATAAGGCCATCCCCTGACTCTGCAATTGTTGTCTGGATTTAAGATCACCCCTTTCATCTAAAATATCCTTGTAACGTACGATTTCCCCCCAGTTTATAAGATTTGGATATATGTATATTCTTGAATAATGTTTGCATTAGATAATTATATATAGAATTGTAATTGTTTATTGTCTCAATGTATTATATCTTAATTTTCTTGTATTTTTAAAACACTTGTTCTGTAGTTTAATAATGTACAGTATGTATTTTGGGGTTTTGTTCTTTCTGCTCTCCCCTTTTTCTCGTATTATTTTAAAAGCAATTAAAAAAACTACAGACCAAGTGGCCCCATGCAGCTAATATCACATATCTTACAGTAGTGATCCCCAATGGCAGTGATTCCCAAACTTGGCAACTTTAAGACTTGTGGACTTCAACTCCCAGAATTCTCCAACCAGCTCTGCTAGAGCTCTCTAGAGCTCTGCCAACTTCTCTTTTCAGTCCCTATACTCTGCTTCCCGTGAACGGTAAGGTATCTCACCCAAATCTGCAGCTTGACTCTTTTTTCATTCCTGTAGACAGTCTTCACCTTGAAATCGATGCCGACGGTGCTAACGAAGTCTGGAGTAAAGGAATCATCGGCATATCGGAAGAGAAACGAAGTCTTGCCCACGCTGCTGTTGCCAATGATCAAAAGCTTGAACATGTAATCGAAGTTTTGGTCAGCGGCATCCTTGGGCATCTGCCGGGTGTCGTTGGCAGAGGCCATCTAAGGGAGAGAAAGGAATATCCCTAGTGAACTTGAGGTCAGAGTAGAATCTCAAGGCTCATCCTAGAGCAGTGTTTCTCAACCTTGGCCACTTGAAGATGTCCGGACTTCAACTCCCAGAATTCCCCAGCCAGCGAATGCGAGCCAACAGTGTGATGCAGCAGCCAAAAAACCAAATGAACCCCTAAGCTGCATTAACAGAGGGATACAATCAAGATCAAGTGAGGCTCTACAAAGCCTTAGTAAGGCTACACACACCTAGAGTACGGCATCCAGTTTTGGTCACCACACTATAAAAAAGATGTTGAGACTCTAGAAAGTCTCTAGAAAAACTCTAGCCGCCCAGAGTCCTTCGGGATTGGGCGGCATATAAATTCATTAAATTTGGAATTTAGAAAGAATGCAGAGAAGAGCAATCAAGATATTTAGGGAACTAAAGGCTATATGATATGATGAGTCCTCCGGGATTGGGCGGCATATAAATTCATTAAATTACGAATTACGAATTACGATGAATGGTTGCAGGAACTGGGCATGGCCAGCCTAGTGAAGAGAAGGACCAGGGGAGACATGATAGCAGCCTTCCAATATTTGAGGGACTGTCACAGAGAGGAGGAAGGGGGTCAAGCTATTTTCCAAAGCANATTTGGAAGGCTTTACAAATTGCCAGGTGGCACTATTCTGCACATAATTGGGTAGGAGTATATCAAAAGTATTTCTCCATGTTTCTTGCATCTGCAAATTGTCATCCTGTAGTATTGCTTAGAGTAAATTACATTTACATATAGTCCGAGAATTTTTTGTAAATAACCAGCTTTGTAAAGGAGGTGAAGAATACACTACAGAGAGAGCGTCTTGAATCCATGGAATCTCTCTGTCTGTTATGTAAACTCTTAAACTCACCATTCTGGGACCAACATTTGGGAAGCCAGGCTCTGCCTGTCACAAGCCAGGGTAAAGGGTGAGTGATGGAGGAGTAACACCTCCTTAAAAAATCTTGGTCCAGCTGGCTCAGGTGGTAGCACCTTGTAAGGGCCCCTTTCCAGGGTTACAGGAGAAGATGACCAATGGTTTTGAAGGCAGAAGAGGGCTGTACGCCCCAATGGCAGATAAAGTGGCAGAACCATCTTCTAGGAGAACAAAACTCTGATTACAAACCTCCACTGCCTTGTCGCTATATCCACTATTGGAAAAGGCTTCAGGAATCAACCTCGAGGCAAAATCCATAGCCAGGGTCCCAGAAGCAGTTCGTGACTGTGTACAATCATGTTCTGGTAACTCCTGTGATGCAGGTGAACCAATTGTATTGGTTCTGCCATTCCATTGGACTATTTCAGCAACATGGAAAGGGGGTAATCTGCTGCTTGGGTAACAGTCTATGCTCCATATTAATCTACCCAGGCCTCATGCTCTGGAGAGGACACTCCAGCTTTGACCTCTTTCTAGAGCATACCATAGTTTTTGAGACTGAAGGATGCTAATGCAAATACTTACAGATAGCAATAGCACTTAGACTTATATACCACTTCATAGTGTTTTTACAGTCCTCTCTAAGTGGTTTACAGGGTCAGCATATTTTCCCCAACAATCTGGGTCCTCGTTTTACCCATCTCGGAAGAATGGAAGGCTGAGTCAACCTTGAGCCTGGTGAGACTCGAACTGCTGAACTGCAGCTGAAGTAGCCAGCAGTACTGCACTCTAACCACTGCACCATCTCAACTGTTGGCACGATGATGACAGCAATAATGAGCAGAAGTAGACTTTCCATAGTTCTTTCTTCTTGTATCTAAGTTTAGCTGGATTGGGGCTTGCTTCTTCTATGATTTACAGCCAATTGGGATGTGATTATTTTACTTGGGCATTTACTTTAGCTTTCACAAATGAAAAACACAATTTTATACTGTGGCTATTCCATGCTGTGAACTAGAGCAGCCCTTAAAGCATAAGAACTTCAGTATCCAAGTGCACAGAAGGAACGTTTATTTATACATTTATAGACTAGCAGCTTTACATTACAACAATGGCATTTTATTATTAAAATTTAACAAAATTCTATTGAATCTTCACAGCTTTACTCACACATCCCTATGGAGGAATGAATGCAAGAGCAGTTATGAATCAAATATCATTCTGGCTACAATAAATATACTCAACCGAAGAGCCCTGAGAGTAGTTTCAACACAGCAATTTACTAGCTATAAAACAGTCTCAAGATCTTGTGATATCCTTATTGTTCTTCCTGAATCATTTGCATCTCTGTATTTAAAACTTATAATACTGTGTGTCATTCAAATCCAGGGACCTTTGATTAATCTGCAAAAATAATGAAGGCTGATACATCTTTCTCTAAGTATTTCAAGATAAGCTAAGTCACCTCTGAGATTCTACTCTATCCTATATTTCAGGGTGGGTACAAAGCATTTCCTACTAAAGTGGTTCAATTTTGTCTTTTTATACTGATTAACACTGAATGAATAGAAATTCTAGTTTAAGATGGAAAGGAAGCTGAAATAATACATAGCAAATTATTTTTCTGATATTGACTTTTCCCCTTTCTTTTTTCCATGTTACTTTAGCCAATTAGAAGATCTAGATATCATCAATAATTTCATTTAGGTGTGACAGTCAACATAATTTAATAAACAGTATTTTTTTCGGCTCATCAGTCTTGTAATATTTAGTTTACAAACATTACAGCCTAACGCAGAAAATGATAGCCTCTTCTAACCTTGTGCAAGATTGGGGCATCTAGTTTGAGAATGACAAAATCCCATTAAGATTTCAGTAAAACCTTATAATATTTTACCTCTTTTTTTATTTAGAAGAGCTAGGAAAGCTGTAGGACAGTGTTTCTGGGGAATTCTGGGAGTTGAAGTCCAGACACCTTCAAGTGGCCAAGGATGAGAAACACTGCTGTAGGAACAGTGGTGGGATTCCATATCTTTTCCTACCGGTTCCATGAGAGTGTGCTTCACGCACGTGTGTGCACAGCACTCAAAGACCGCCCTCGACGTCAGTGCTGGTGAGGTGAGCTGTTTTTTAGCTCAGCTGAGACGTGACAATTCGTTCTGCCGTGCGAATCAGCTGAGGTAAAAAAAACAAGGGAATGTAGGACAGGGAATGACAGGAGTGGGAGGGCGGGGCCAACCAGAAGTGGTATTTGCCGGTTCTCCAAACTACTCAAAATTTCCACTACCGGTTCGCCTGAACCGGCTGAATACTACCTCTGTGTAGGAAGTATATCATAGACCCCCGTGCCCCAAAATAGCCCATTCTGGAACTCTAAACCAAAGCAAGCCAAATAACTGATTTGCATGATTATCGTCTTACAAATACATTGCAATAAGAAGCTATAATATTAACGATAGCTGTTTTCAAATATCTGAAGTTCACTCACATTGTGGAGGGTTCAAACATGTTCTCTCTTGATCCAAACAGTAAGGGTACACCTGATGGGGTAAAACTTCAAGGATTTAGATACAGATTAGACATTAGAGGAACTGCTTGACAGTAAGAGCTGTCACAATTAGTGGAATAGGTTATCTCACACGATGGTTTCTGGTCTCTCACTGGAGGTTTTCAAACAGACTTGAAAATAGTCATTTATCAGGTGGGGTGTAAGGAATCTTGCAGGGATTAGAGTTGATGACCCTTAAATCCCTTTCAACTCTATTGTTCTTTGTAATTTTTTATAATGGTTTCTAAAATGGCAACAAAAATACATCCTCCTGAATGTTTTCAATGGAATGGCGTTGCGCTTCCAATTTCCTTCCGATATCAACCCCTTGAACCCCGAATGCTCTTATTGATTGTCTTTTTGCCATCTTAACTGATTTGTTTCTGTTGTTGCTGTCGAAGGAAAACATGCAGAGCATGGCTTCTTGACTTATTTCCAACCCAATATATTGGAAATGTTTATATTTTTATCTATATAATTAAGATGCTGTGTATTTTATAGAGTGTTGCCTTTGTGTGTGTCTATCATGTGGTTGAAGATCTAAACTGGATGGATACATATTGTTGCCTGTGGGGAGGAGTATGCTCTATGCTCCCTTCTCATGTTACATCTGCTTAGTTTGAGTGTACATAGCAGTGATGGCTAAACTTTTGCGTGCCTAAATGCGTTTGTGATAGCGCGCATGTGTGTGCCCACTCCATAATGCAATGGGCACATGATTCCCCCGTGTACCCTGCCCCCTGCACATGTGCATGTGATCCCCTGCAATCCCTGCCTCCCTGTGGATGTTCATGCGATCCCCCATGCCCTGTTTTGGACTTAGCAGGCCTCCTCAAAGGCTCCTGGAACCAAAAATGGGGTGCCCCCCATGCATGCTGGTGTAACCCCCCTTCCCCCCTACACATATCCTGCATGTGGCCCAAAAGTCAGCTGGCCAGAGGGAGGCACGCACGCATGTGCGGTGGAGCTGAGCCTAGGGTGACGGCTCAGGTGCCCGCAGAGAGGGCTCCACCTGCCACCTGTGGCATGCTTGCCATAGATTTGCCACCACAAGTATATAGGCACTGAAGAATCCAGTGGAGAACTCTTTCCTTCACCACCTAATGGAAAGCAATTCTGGCTTAGAATTAAAGAGTCAACATGGAATGAATTCTGGCTTAGAATGAAATGTTCAGAGATATGATCGCAGCGCTACAGTACTTGAGGGGCTGCAACAAAGATTGGGAGGAGGACTAGAACTAAGGAGAAATTTCCTCACAGTGAGAACAATCAACAGTGGAATGACTCTCCTTCAGAAGTTGTGAGTTGCCCCATCACTGGAGGCTTTCAAGAAGAGATTGGACAGCCATTTGTATAGACTCTCCTTCTTCAGCAGTCGATTGGACTAGATGACCTCTTAGTCCCTTCCAAGTATTCTATTCTATTCTATTTTATTCTATTCTATTTTATATTCTATTCCATTCCTGCCAGCTCTAGTCAGATCTGAGCATATTCAAGTTCATTTGTCCTCCTCTTCCGCCTCCTTGCCGGCTTCTTCTCCTAG